GACCCCCCGCGATGTCGAGATCTTCTTCGTGCCGGATTCCCCGTCCGAGGGTGAAGCGCTTGTTCGTGTTATGATTTTTCTTGCGGCTGCCGCCACGCCTCGCGGTGAAACATGGCGATCGCTTCCACGCTTGGCACGCAACGTCGTCGGCACGACCATCGCCTTCCATCGTAGGTCGTGAGGCGGCGTCCGTCCACCCAGACTGACCGACGCGCCAAATCGAATTATGATTGACACCCCTGGTCCCCGCAACAAAGTGCAGTTTTGTTGTGTGTAGTTGTAGATGTGTTCGAGAGGAGGAGGAGGAGGAGGAGGAGGAGGAGGAGGAGGAGGAGGAGGAGGAGGTGGAAGAGGAGAAGGGGGAAAATGGCGCAGGAGAGGTGGAGGAGGAGGCGGAGGAGGAGGGGGAGGAACAGGAGGAGGAGGAAGAGGAGGAAGAGGACGAGGAACATCAGCAGGAGGAGCAGGAGGACTAGGGAGGAGGAGGAGGAGGAGGAGGAGGAGGAGGAGCATGAGGAGGAGGAGGAGGAGGAGGGCGCAGGATCTGGAGGAGGAGGAGGCGGAGGAGGAGGAGGAGGTGCTGGAGGATGAGGAGGGCCAGCGATGTTGGAATAAGTTTCCCCCAAGTTCGTCTCATCTTCACATAATGCTATGTCTCGTTGGAAGACAACTGTTTGAAGACCCTGAAGCATGCCAAAGCATTGTTATCGGTATTCCAACGCCACATGTAAACTTGATTGTTGCGGCTTCACGATCCTGAATCGTGCCAGAACGCTTTTCCTGGGACTTCAACACTTCGAATCATCGTAACGGTTGCGCCATTATAATCGTGAGTCCTTCCCAAACACCACCTCTGGTACGCCGATAATTGGGATCCGCGATGCAAGTGTTTATCAAGAGTGTGCGCGGCGCTCAGGCGAGAGCCGCATTTTGAAAACGACCCGCCCTCAATCCGTGAAGCCCGTGCAAATTTTGAAAACGAATGTGCGCAGCGCTCGGGCGAGAACTACAGTTTGAAAACCACCCCGGCCTCGATTCGTGAAGCCTTTGCAAATGACGTGTGCGCGGCGCTAAGGCGAGAACCATAGTTTGAAAACCGCCTGACATCAATCCGTGAAATTCTTGCAAAGTTTGAAAACCAATGTGCGCTGCGTGCATGCGAGAGCCACAGTTTGAGAACCACCCGCCCTCAACCCGTGAAGCTCTTGCAATTCGTAAGGGTTTCGCCCCATGCCGCCGGCCCCCTCTCTCGGATAATGGGAGATGCAAAAGCTAAATCATCAGGTCTGGGCGCCGCCGTGAAGCAGTGTCGGGACCTGTTTGTTTTTCGACCCTGACCCTACGGATCTGCGTGAGGGGTGCCACCGAATTTCAGAAATGTGGCAAGTCCCCTTTGTTTTGGACCCTGACCCTACGGATCTGCGTGAGGAGTGCCACCGAATTTCAGAAATGTGGCACATCCTTTGTGTTTTTGGACCCTGACCCTGTCGATCCGCGTGATGGGGTGTCATCGAATTTTAAAACTGTTGATAATCCCATTGGTTTTCGGACCCTGACCCCGCCGATCTGCGTGAGGGGTGCCATCGAATTTCAGAAATGTGGCAAATCCCATGTGAGTTTGGACTCGCACCCCGCCGATCTGCGCGAGGGGTGCCACCGAATATTAAGCATGTGGCAAATCCCATGTGTTTTTGGACCCTGACCCCGCCGATCTGCGTGAGGGGTGCTAACGAATTTTAGAAATGTAGCAGATCGTCTTTGATTTTGGACCCTGACCCCGCCGATCTGCGTGAGGAGTGCCACCGAATGTCAGACATGTGGCGAATCCCATGTGTTTTTGGACATTGACCCCGCCGATCTGAGTGAGGGGTGCCAGCAAATTTCAGAAATGTGGCACATCCCATGTGCTTTCGGACCCTGACCCTGCCGATCTGCGTGAGGGGTGCCACCGAATTTCAGAAATGTGGCACATCCCTATGTTTTTGGACCCTGACCCCGCCGATCTGCGTGAGAGGTGTGAATTTTTACCCACCCGAACAATTCAGAGTACACGCTCAGGGCGTGCTAAACGTTCCCGTTTGGGCCTCCCCCCCCTCGCGCGGTCCATCAACAAGGAGCAGTAAGCAGCGAGAAGCAGAACTGTAACAGTGGAAACTGGAAGCTGCAACTAACTGGTACAGGAAAATGCGAAGCTTCGGCCTACAGCCTGGTGGCCCCACAAGGGGGCCGGTGAATTTTTGAAAACGAGAGTGCGCGGCGCTTGGGCGAGAGCCGCAGGATGAAAACCACCCGCCTTCAATCCGTGAAGCTCTTGCAAATTTTGAAAACGAATGCGCGCGGCGCTAAGGCGAGAGCCACATGTTCAAAGCCACCCGCCCTCAACCCTTGAAGGTTTTGCAAAGTTTGAACACCAATGAGCGCGGCGCTGGGACGAGAGCCACATTTTGAAAACCACCCGCCTTTCATGTGTGAGACCATTGTCAATTTTTAAGGCTCAGCGTCATAAGTGGTGAGTGGGGAAATCTAGGGCGAAACGCGCGGCCCGCCCTGCAAACTGGAGCCGTGGTGCGACATGGAGAAGTCATTTATAGTGAGAGGGAGAGGAGGAGGAGGAGGAGGAGGAAGTTGAGGAGGAAGTTGAGAAGGAGGAGGAGGAGGAGAAGGAGGAAAAGGAGGGGGAGGAGGAGCAGGAGCAGGAGCAGGAACAGGAGGAGGACGAACGAGGAGGAGGAGAGGTGGAGGAGGGAGAGGGAGGAGGAAGGAGGAGAGAGGTGGATGTGGATGTGAGGTGGAGTGTGGAGGTGGAGGGGTGCGGAGGGAGGAGGACGAGGAGGAGGAGGAGGAGGAGGAGGAGGAGGACGAGAAGGAGTACGAGGACGAGGAGGGGAGGGAGGAGGAAGAGGAGGAGGATGAGGAGGAGGGCGCAGGAGTAGGAGCAGGAGGGCGCATGAGGAAGAGGAGGAGGATGAGGCGGAGGAGGAGGATGAGGTGGAGGGCGCAGGAGGAGGAGGCGGAGGCAGGAGGGAGGAGGGAGGAAGGAGGAGGGAGGAGGGAGGAGGGAGGACGGAGGAGGGAGAAGGGAGGGGCGCAGGAGGAGAAGGAAAAGGAGGAGGCGGAGGAGGAAGAGGAGGAGACGGCGGAGGAGGAGGAGGAGGAGGAGGAGGAGGATGATGAAGATGATGATGATGATTATGATGATGATGATGATGATGATGATGATGATGATGATGATGATGATGATGATGATGATGAGGAGGAGGAGGAGGAGGAGGAAAGGGAGGAGGATGATGAAGATGATGATGATGATGATGACGATGATGATGATGATGCTGATGATGATGGTGATGGTGATGGTGATGGTGATGGTGATGATGATGATGATGATGATGATGATGATGATGATGCTGATGCTGATGATGATGCTGCTGATGATGATGATGACGTTGCTGCTGATGATGATGATGATGCTGATGATGATGATGATGATGATGCTGATGATGATGATGATGATGATGATGATGATGATGATGATGATGTTGCTGATGATGATGATGCTGATGATGATGATGCTGATGATGATGATGA